GGAGTGGTCAAACCGAAACATGAAGTCAGTCCACGTGGTCTTCGACAGTTGGTTTGCATCACTCAAGGAGGTGTGGATTACCTAGTTAGGGTCCTCAGGTTACTAAGATCGAACAGCTACTGATTGTTGGAGATATAGCATCGATATCGGTAGCCCAAATTTTGCAGGCCGACCATAGATATCAGGTGTGCGTCGGCAGGGGATCGAACCCCGGACCATGTGCATGGTCAGCAAAGGTCCTAACCACTATGCCACCGACGATATAGCTCAGAATTGTTCTAAATGGTGCACAGATACATTCACTCTTTGTGATTACCCATATTCATCAAGCCCTAACGTTTTCGCAAGCTACTACCGTTTCTCCCTTACATCTATGCCTGTTGTAGCTCTTCTGAATATCTTTTCCCTTTCTTGTCTGTATTTATATGCTAAATAGAATACGATAACTTGAACTGGTGCATTTCTGCGCGAAATTCTATATTAAAACTCAGTTACTCAGTTAGCCTTTGGGATGCTAACAACCGTTTAGGCTAAGTTAAACTTTAAGCACCCATTATAGATAAGATTTTATTTTGATAAAATCACACAGTGTTGTTATACAGTAATATTAACTGACGACCACGTTTCGAGCACAAATTATTACTGCTCATAATCATATCAAGGTACTCACTCACAGAACTTTCTTGCTTCACCCATATATATGAGTGAAATTGATGATCAAACATTTAAATAAAACACAAAATAATCGAGCAAAGAATATTCTTTGCGATAAATTCCTCTTCCAGGCTCTACAATTATATATATGCTTTTATACACAGAATATTTTAAATTAGTAGAAACACTAATGATAATGACTGAACAAACTTCTTTTGGGTTTCTCGTCGAATTTCCGAACATCACCGTGCCTGGTTAAGCAAAGGACAAACAAAATCTATTCGCAGCGCTATTCTGTCTCATCGTGTGGAGACAGAACACAAGATTGACGTTGACCATGTTTTCAGAGTCATTTACCGCATACCTACGAATCTCAATTTAGCTTTAAGAGTTCGACTACTAAATATTGCTGAGGCTGTGGGGATCCATATTAACAAGCCTAATTTTTGCGTCCAAAAGAAGTTAGTTCAGACATTATCCTTACCGCTTGGCCATCCAGGTTTGAACAATCCGGAATTTTGTGAAATTTCCCTAATTTTAGTTGATATTCTATTCGCTGTTATATCTTTATTATTATTATAATTTAAGCATCTTTAATGAACTGGAATTCCATTGTGATCTTACTTGACAAATAGATATTATTTAAAAAACACCAATATTGTTATTGACTACTAATTTAAAATATTCTGTGTATAAAAACATATTTATAATTGTAGAGCCTGGAAGAGGAATTTATCGAAAAGAATATTCTTTGCTCGATTATTTTGTGTTTTATAGATGTCTGAATGAATATTTTTGCAATATTTAAATAAAAATCAATATGGGATAATCTACATTCAGAAATAATAAAATGAGTGTTATTGATTAAACACAATCAAATGGAATATAAGATGTTTTTATAGTAAAATAAATAAATAATTTGTTAGAATGTAAATAGCATTTTAAGACTATTTATTATTCTCCTCTGATTTGACTGACTGGTGGTAATAATATCTTCGATATATGTGGTATTTGCATTGAGTCATTTCAGTTGCATGTGTTGTGTTAGGTGTAGACTGGATGAACCAGGATTCAGTAATCAATCCCTCCCTCCATCTACCTATATTACTTTCTCGAATTTTCACTCTGTCCCACCTTGGAATGACTGTGAGTGAGGTCAACTACGTACGTCAAACTAGTAGATCGGGAGTAATCAGATTGTCGGAACATAAGAATTTAGCTAAGGTAAGAACGATTGATCCCACGAAGATAAGTAATTTAGAAAAAAGCTCACCGATTGCACTGCATGCATTAACACACAATCACACAATAGGGTGGGAGAGGGTTAAAATTCTAAGAAGTAATCTAGGTAGGTGGAGAGAGAGAGAGGTTGATTACTGAATCCTGGTTCATCGAGTCTACACCCAACACATGCAACAGAAATGACTCAATACAAATACCAGAGATATGGAAGATATCATTACCAGCTGTCAGTCAAATCAGAGGAGGATAATAAATAATCTTAAAATTCTATTTCAATTCAATTCACATACATCATAACATTCTAACAAGTTACTTATTTATTTTGACTATGAAAACACTCGTCTTATTTCCCATCTGATTGTATTTGATTAATAACATTCATTTTATTATTTCTGAATGCACTTTATCTTATATTGATTTTATTCAATCAAATGTCTAATCATCAATTTTATCATGAGGTGACATTAGTTAGAGAACCGTTGGAAAACCACCTGGGAATACTGGACAGCTGTTTCGTCATAGTTTGGGACTCTTCGGCGGTACGCACCCACCGGGATATGTCGTAAATTGGCAGAAGTTAGAATTCATGGGCCATTGGATCGGGTCCCAGTGGCTTAATGGTATACGAGCTCGCCTTATAACCAGAAGGTCCTGGGCTCAAACCCCTGTGGTGGAAGTGTACTGCTGAAGAGTTCCAAATTATGACGAAACAGCTGTCAAGTACTCATAGGTTTTCCAATGGTTCTCTAACCAATGTCACCCCATGATGAAATCCTGTAACCAATCAAATTCCTACAAACCAACACTTGAACATCAATTTTACTCATGTATATAAATGAAGCAAGAAAGTTGTGTGAGTGAGTGACTTGATATGATCAAGAGTGGCAGTAATAATTTGTGCTCGAAAGGTGGTCATCAGTTAATATTGCTGTATAACAACACTGTGTGATTTTATCAAAATAAAATCTTATCCATATTGGAGTTATACTCTACCACCACAGTGCCTAAGTTTTATATCTATAAACTTTAAGCAGAACTAACTACCACTCAGCGAACGGCCTTCAACGAACCAATCACATGGAAAAGGCATTTTTGGTTATGGAAAGAATGCATAAAAATATTTCATAGGATACCTTTCTCTGACATGTAGTAAAACATCTCCCAGTCGAGCATCGGAGTATTCACTAGAAAGTTACACCACATTCTATGCATATATTCATCTAAATGACATCCTTTTGAGATCCATTAATGGCCCTAATCCTGTTTTTAATCTTCCCCAAGAGCTTTCTATAGAACTAATGTGTGTCCGTGTAATGGCACCCACAAAGTCATTAGAATGGTTCACTCTGTTGGTGAATATACCCAAGGGATAACAGGTAGTTATAACCTCCCCAGTCATCCACGTGTAGCATAACGAAGTAAGCCTCTCCAATTTCCATGACGCGATATCTTTGCACTGCTGGTACCACTGAACTGTTTTAGCAGCCAACAACAGGAGACCCGTTGACGTCGTCTTCATAGACTTCAGCAAAGCCTTTGATAAAGTACCTCACAAAAGACTACTCATGAAGTTGGAAAGTCTTGGTATCAAAGGCAGCTTACTAAACTGGCTCAGGGAATTCCTCATAGATAGGAGGCAGAGGGTTAGGATCAACTCGAAACTCTCCTCTTGGACAGCAGTACGCAGCGGAGTGCCACAAGGCACGGTACTTGGACCTCTCCTATTTATTTTGTATATCAATGAGTTATCTCTGCTCACCGATTCCCCTATGGTCCTATACGCAGATGACTTAAAAATTTGGAGAGAGCTGAAGGGCAACAGTGACACGTCCACGTTGCAAGAGGACCTCAACAAATTGTCAGAGTGGTGCATAGAATGGATGCTCCCGATAAATGTGGCAAAATGTACAACCATGCGCATTGGACAAGTAAGCACGAGCTCTTATGAAATAGAGGGAATTACACTTCCATCAGTTCAGACTTACTTGGACTTAGGTGTCATAGTTAGCCACGACTTAAAAACTACAGCACGCTGTCGCGCGGTGGCTGCACGTAGTTTCAGGTCATTATGGGCAATTCGTAGAGCCTTCACTAGAATCACCAGAGAGACATGTTCACCTCCTTATATACATCTCTGGTGAGGTCAAGACTGGAAAACTGCATCCAGGCCGCCAGCCCTTGTCTAAAAGGGGACTCACTTATTCTAGAAAGGGTTCAAAGGAAAGCAACACGTATGATTCATGGCATGACTAACTTATCATACGAGGAAAGACTAGACAGTTTAAATCTCTTCTCCTTGTCATACCGTAGGCAGAGAGGAGATTTAATCACAATGTTTAAAATTTTAAATAATGACTACGGACCTGACCTATTTTCTCTTTTCCTTCCCACCAGGTCGGAACACCTTAGAGGAAATAGCAGGAGAGTTCAAAAGCCAAGCAGAAATCATATTGCTGTTGAGTACTGGTTCTCACACCGAGTCATAAACTCTTGGAACCGACTCCCAGAAGAAGTGGTGTCTGCAACCTCAGTTGATTCGTTCAAGAAGGGTTTGGACAACCACAGAAATTTACTAGAAAAGGATTAACATAGGCTCCAAGCCTTCTATCCTCAACCAATAAATCTGAATCTGAATCTGAATGCTCTTCTCACAGGCTGTTTTAAAACCCAGTAACTCCAAATATAACAAAATATGGGTTAAGGACAAATGGGATCTGGCAAAAAAGTGTTCCTACGAAATATCAGAATAATCAGCTTAACTTCCCTGAAATTTGACTCGAATCAAGCGGAAAAAAACCTTCAAATCACGTGGGTGAAACTCATTGGACCATTCAAGGCCGTTCACTGATTGGTAGTTAGTGGTGCTTAAAGTTTAACTCGACCTTACAATGTAATATGTTATACAAACAGATAAATCTGATTGACACAGAGAAAAGACACATTCTTGTTAAATGCATATTTATTTCATGTCAGTTGTGCATGTCTGCATGTGTATGTTTGTTTGTTACTTTTGTATAAGAGAGTTTATTTATTCTAAATCTGTTGAACTGTCAGATGTTAACATCTCTTGCCTTCTTCAACTGCTTACTTACAGTTTCTGTCCATCAGGTATGATTTTCATAGGATAGTATCTTCTTATAAACTTCATCAATGTCTGTTATCAATGTGAGTCGTTCAAGTATTCTGCGACCGTATTGTCTAATGAAAAAATTTATTTTTTTAAAAAAAGAAAAGAAAAAATCATTAGTTTCAATCAGGATATTATTAATTAAAACAATTAGTTCCCTTTATGAATTTAGACAATAAGCAATAAGAAGACGTAATTTATTTGAATCGTGTTATGTAATTAGCATAGTGAATCGACCCTTTCATTGTTCATCTTTCTGTAATTTTATGGTGTCACCCTTTCTATCGTTTAATTATAACTTTACTGTTTTTTATTTTAGTTTTTATTACTATTATTACTATAATTTTATACTTTATGCATATTTTTCTCCGTATTGCATACAGTAATTTGCTATATAGCTGCTATAACAACGTTTTGTTATCATTATTATTATGTAATGTTTATTTTTATTTTTTTTGTCGTTTTTGAGTAAATTAGATGCAATATTGTACTGGATGCTGAAAATTCCTTGCTGTATCATGAGTACTGTTTCTTGGAATAAAGTAAATTATTATTATTATGTATTTGCGTGCACAATACATTTCGAACAGTCTGATCACACTTCACGGACTTTTCATAGTGTAACAACAGAAGAGAAGGGCCAGGCAGCAGATCGTCTATTAAGGAAAATCAACACATATTTATAGATTTTAATGTACATTATTGTAGATTATTGTTATTAGAAAATACAGTCTTTTGACTGGTTGTTTCTCACAGAAAGTTAACCTTGCATCTCTTTGTGGCTGTGTCAGATCATCCATATGCTAACTGAGGAAATAGACCACTTAGGTCAAGTTGAAAGGACATATTGAAGGTGAAAATAACAATGAAGATCACTAAACCAGAGGTAATAGTACATCTCCCTGGATGGTATCAAAACAAAGTTTACCAACAAGGAAGGTTTAGTGTGATGACGAATTGTTGCTTTAAACGTGCACAGGTGGTTTAAACTTTCTAATTACTAACTAAGGCTTCCACAAACTTGACACGAAAGTTTGAAGGTACGATTTCCCACAAACTGGAAGATATGCAGACGAAAGGCAACAAGTTGGCAGAAGAAGCATCCAGAGAAGATAAAACTTCAGGTGAACATAAAGAAAACAGAGGTAATCAAGATTCCTGGACAACAACAACACCAGACAATGATCAGCATAAATGGGAGGAACCTGAAAGAAACAAACTCTTTTACCTACCTGGGAAGCATCGTCTCAACTGCAGGCGGAACTAACGAGGATATCAAAGCAAGAATCAGAAACGCAAGACAAGCTTCCATTTCTCTCAAGTCTGTGTGGAGGTCAACAGTGAGCACTCAGCATCAAAAATAAGATCCGGACTTTCAACTCCAATGTGAAGTCAGTGCCACTTACTATACGGATCAGAGACTTGGCCAGCGCGTCATAAAGAGCATTTCAAACAAACTACACACCTTCATTAACAGTTGTCTTCGCTCAATACTCAAGATCAGAGGGCCAGAAAAGATCAGCAACGCGGAGGGATCTCTGGGAGCAAACCAATTAGGAACCGATTGTGCAGCAAATAAACAGGAAGAAATGGAGATGAATTGGCCATACTCTGAGGAAACCATCAAGTGATATCGCTAGACAAGCCATTGCTCGAGTGGAACCCGAAAGGGAAGCAGCGAGTTGGTCGTCAGTGTGAGGGTGACTTGGAGGAGGTCATGTGAAGAGGAGATGACAACGTGTGGACAGATATGGAGCCAGATGAAGACTCTAGCAGAGAACCGAACGCAATGGAGATGCACGACTGAAGCCCTATGTTCCTCTGGGAATTTAAGGAAACAATAATAATAATATAGATTAAAAGAGGCTTGGAGACAAGATTACATGGGATTAGTAAACAGTTACAACGTAGGTAAAACTAATATTTGATAATTGGAGAAATAATTTTTAAAGACGAATAAAAGGTGACAATTATTGTCAACTTGATATGGATTACAAGAGGCTTAGAAACAAAAAATTACACAGGGATAGAACGAATTACAGTTGTGAACAAAATGAGCATGGAAACAAATTGAAATCAAAATTTTTCAGCTTGAAACGTAAGTTAGAAGGTGTGAATATAAATTACAAGAGGCATGGAAACAAAAAACTACACAGGATTAGAATATGATTGTAAAACAGCTATTCCCAATGAATTACAAGTGTGAGCAGGAAGAGCATGGAAATAAACAAAATAACTGATTTTATAAGTGAAAAACGAAATGGGATGAATTACATTAAGACAAAGAGAGAAGAAATACACAGCGAACAAAAAAAGAAATAAAAAAAAACTGGAGGCTAACAGACCATAACGAACTAGGTCCAAGATAGTTGTACAGGTTGAACTAATTTCTTTTGAACACACAGCTCTGGCTTTTCGATGCATATGGCGAGGGCTTGTGTAATACACAGAAGTCGGAAACACACTGCCTTTGATAGATTTTTATTTACTTTGTAAATGACTCTGAAGAATGAGTCAGTTGAGATGCTGTGACAGGTATTGATTGACGAGTTGTTCAATTATGGCAATCTGATTGAACCAGTGCCCCGCCTTTACAGTCATGCTGGATGATGTTCTCTAAAAGGTTTTGATAAGACCTGCATAGAACGACTTATGTACCTAGCTCCTCACGAGCAGGTGAACTGAGATATGCACATTGAACTGGTCATATGTGGAAGTCTGTCCTTCACGTTGCTCCGAAGTAGTGGGCAGCTAGAGGATATCATTCTTAGAGTTTCTGCAGAGAAGGTCTTCTTTAAAGGCCCTTTTTACGTGGAATAACAGACTAGTTATAGACTGACGAAATAAGAACCTGAAGAGGAGAATTTATTTGGAAAGAATATTCTTCGTTCAAACCGACTTTCAATTCGTAATATGAGAATATCTCTAACTCTTAAATTTCAAAAACTTATCAATATATTGGGTTGTAATTTAATAATCGTGTTTATACCCATTCTCTGGTATTATAATTCCCTTACTTCCGAGTGGAACATACATATTCAGCAGTAGGTTGCCATTATATCCTGTTCTCTGAATTCAACTTTATCTAGTTCCAAGATTCACCATAATCTTTAATCTCCTCCTCTATTTCATCACTCTTGGATACCCAACTCGTCATTTCCTGATCAGATACTACTCAGTGGCCTGGTATATGGTATCACTCAACAGTCTATTGAGTGTGTGTGTGTGTGTTCAATCTATCCAGAGCGATAGGTTCTTGGTTGGTTCATTCCAAGAGTTTCTTGTTGCTAATTCTTCCTGGCCATTTGATCTTCCAGATGGAGCCAGCGAATTGGGCAGCTATTGATAAAAGTCTACAGAAGCCTGTTCCAAATGCTTTCCGTGACACGTGAGCCAAGTTTCTGACCCATATAGAAGGATTAACCGACTACACATTTATTTTGAGAATTAAAATTTTGTTCGTTATGTTGAGGACAGAAGATGTCCTCAGTGATTTTAGAATCATGAAGATATGTCTTTGACTGCCGGTGGTACAGGGTTACTCAGGTGCGAATCTCAGAAGGAATATGAGTTCTTAGCGCTATTCTATCTCATCTTGTAGATACACAGAACACAAGATTGATGTCAACGAGGCAGCTTTCAAAGTCATCTACCTCATACCAACCAACAAATCTTAACTTCGCCTTAACAGTTCGTTTACTAAATATTGCTGAGACTGGCTGTTGGGATCCATATCTTTTCTCCTTCACGTCCCCCAGTGGAACATAGGGCTTCAAGCTAGTGGCTTGAAGTTTCTGTAGCAGTGTTTATTTTCACAGGATGGGGTTACTAGCCTCATGCCCAACCTTTCCTCTTCACCAGCATTATTTCTGGCTTAGCGAGGTAAAGGAGTGCGTCTGTGGCCGGGAATCGAACCCCGGACCCTGTGCATGGTTGGCGAGCGTCCTAACCGCTATGCCACCGACGAATCTAAGATCAACATTAACAGGCCAAAATTATGTGTCCAAAAGAAGAAGCTAGTTCAGATATTGTCCTTACCCCGAAGGCCATCTAGGTTCGAAAGATCCTCAATTTGCTGTGGAATTTTCCTTAATTTTAGTTGATATTCTATTTGCTATTATATTTTTATTATTATTATAATTTAAGCATCTTTAATCAACCGTAATTCCATTGTGATCTTACTTAGCAAATCGATATTATTTAAAAAAAAACACCAATATTGTAAATGACTACAATTCTAGAATACTCTGTGTATATAAACATGCATATATATTTGTAGAGCGAGAAGAGGAAATTATCGAAAAGAATATTCTTTGCTCAATTATGTTGTGTTTTATACATTTATCTTTATTTAAACTGGAACTTTCTGCGTAAAAACTATATAAGGGTAATTTTCTAAGCACTGTTCATCAAGTTATGAGCCTCCTACCAACTGATATCATGTAACATTCACAAGTATGTTAAAATTATTTTGTGCATAAACTTAATAATTAACTTAAGGCTGTATGCAGCTGATGAGGAGCCAATGAAACAAGCCGTGATGGTAGCATCTTATTCTACCCAAACCAGCACTGTTCTTCTTGCTTTATTCAAACTTTCCACATGATTAGTGATCATTTCGCCATGAACCATCATCACTACTGACTACTGTCATCTGAATAAGCTGATGATTGGCTAATGAGGATCGAATACTCTCAGGGAAATTCAGTTCCTGTAAGGTACACTTTGTGAATTAGTAATTAGCTTGTGCTAAATGGTATGCCAAAGAAAGATAAAGTGTACGAGAAGGTTGTAACACCAAACTTAATCGTCAGTTGATACAATAGAGAAGATTTGTAGCTCAGGTGAATGATTTGCAATTAATACTGTTCTCTGAGCTGGTTGGTTTGGTTGCGGAGCTTTCGTCGTCCTTCTGGACAACATCCCCATTCAGCGCAATATTAAGCATAAAGTGAAATGAACACCAATGGGATTATCGCCCATATCAGGATTAATAGCTAAAACTGTTATGCAAAGATTAGAATTAATAGCTCTACCTATAATTAAATCAAAAATCCGGACAGGTACGTTACGTTGATGATACATTTGTAGTAATTAAGAGAAATGATTTAGAATATACGCATAAATTAATAAACAACGTATTTGAAGACATCAGATTCACGAAAGAAGAAGAATTAGACCACAACAAAATCCCATTTTTAGATGTCTTAATCAGGAGAACCAACACAGGAGATTTAGAAACACAAGTATATAGAAAATCAACACACACAGATCAAATACTCAACTATACTAGCAATAATCCAGTTACTCACAAACTAAACTGTGTGCAGACATTGTTTAAAAGAGTTCAAACACATTGTAGCACTCAAGAGTTGAAAATTAAATCAAAACACCGACAAGAAACCATCATCAAAGACCACAAGAAAATTCATTCTACTATACTTGAGAAATATCTCTGAAATAACAGCTAGAATACTGAAACCGTTTGATATAGATATAGCACACAAGCCAGTCAAATCACTTAATTCGATATTGTGCAAACTGAAAGATCCAACAGAAAAAGGAGATAAAATTAATACCATTTACAAAATAAACTGTATGAACTTTAACAGGCATTACATCGGCCAAAGTGGGCGTCCCCTTTGAATCAGAATCCAGGAACACAAATCAGCTGTGAAAAGACACGATATATACACTTTCATATCAATACATATAGATAATTACGGACATCAGTTTGATTGGGATAATGTCAAAATTTTAGACAGAAGAAACACCAGAAATACTGCCAGGGAATTCCTACAAGCCTGATACTCAAACGAAAATGCAATTAACAAACACGTTAATATAGACCAAATATACCAACTGATAGAAAGTAGATCAGGTGACCAGAAATTTTAAAATCCAAGTCAATAGAAAATGGTCAATACATATGTAAAGATGGTTACCGGGAGACGCAATTATATCACTCATGAAGAAATTTAAATCAGTTCACTTTAGGCTAAAAATTGCGCTAAAAGAGGATGTTGTCCCGAAGGACGACGAAAGCTCCACAACCAAACCAACCAGCTCAGAGAACACTATTAATTGCAAGTCACTTGAAACACCTAACTTACAGATTTCAGACATTATTAAGGTGTGAATATTCCAGGTGGCCCGGCTAATCATGACCATATTTTATACTTGATCGGAAAAATGCAACAGGCGGTCGGATGTATAAACAATATGACGTTGGTTTATTTTCAGTGACAAATCCGTGTTTCAACTCTGCCTCTCAGGATTCGTTATATTTTTATTTCCAAACGATAAAACAGTGAAGACTTGTTCTAATTGAATTTGAATCCCCTCCCCCTCATGATTGATTTTTATTGGAATCAAGTGCTCAGTCTCTCTTCATATGTCAACTCCTAGTAGGCGGGTGGGGGACGATTTGACGACGTCTCAGGATTAACATGATATTATTTCCTGGGTGTTGATGATGACTAACAATGGGATTCACGCTGTCCACTGTGTCCTATTTATTCAGCATTAAAAATGATGGTTGCCGGCTTTGAGTCCCAGTGGAGATACATCCAGGTGATGAGACCTAAATAGGACGAAGTGTACATCATGAATTCCACTGCTAGACACAAGCAGTCAAATGAAAAATATATCCAAAATATTCATCCAAACATCTATAAAACACAAAATAATTGAGTAAAGAATATCTTTTTTGATAATTTCCTCTTCTGGCTCTACAATTATATATACATATCCGGAAAACTTTATCACTTGTCACAGTAAAGAAAGACCACATCTCGAAAAGACAGCTTCTATACCAAAGAAAGCTATCTTTATTAACCTACCATTTAAGGGTGACCAGATTATGCAGCTGACAGCTCAATGACTTCGGTCAGCCATCAAACGCACATTCTACGCCGTATCTCTTTTTCTCACTTGTCGAACATTTTCGACCCCTGTACCTACGCTCAAAGGAAGAAATTCTCTAGACTCTACTTCAAACTGTATCTACAAATTCACCTGCAGCTGCGGTGACACACACCTATATAGGTAGAACCAATAGAATGTTTTTTTTTTTTGATTTACAGCTTGATTTCCACACCGTATTTTCAGTACAAGTGTGGAACTTTCAGCATGGATATCGGTGGCACAGTGGTTAGAACTCTCGCCGACCATGCACATGGTCTGAGGTTCGATCCCCTGCTGACGCACACCCGATATCAATGGACGGCCTGCAAAATTTGGGCTACCGATATCCATGCTGAAAATTCCATACTTGTACCAAAAATACAGTGTGGAATCAAGCTGTAATCAAAAAAAATATAAAATATAAAAAATGTCGTCGAAAAGAGCTTGTTCCAAAATGGTTATTAAAACATATAGAAAATCCCAATGCGATTAATCTGAATAGAAATCCAACGATCCAGCATCATCCATTGCAAAACACTTATTAGTGTCAGGTCACAAAATCAGTATTAATGACTGTCTCACAATTATTTCATCATATAACTCTAATTCAAGATTATTGAAGGTGATGGAATCACTTTGGATTAATCAAATATAGCCTAAACTGTGTGTACAAAAAAAAACAATAGACTTCAACCTTCGCCTAACACGGCGAGTATACTTGACCTATTTAAATATGATTGATCATTAGTGTGTACTTTTGCCTTATTTTGTATAGCTGAGTAATTGTCATGCAGTTTATTTTATTATTGTTAACCATGTTAGTTGTAAAGCGGTTGTAAAGAAACTACGAAATGGAGATATCATCTCGCGAAAATTGTCTTCTTAATGCCTTATTCAAATATATACAAATGTTTATATACACAGAATATTCTAGATTAGCAGTCAATAACAATATTAGTGTCTTTTTTAAATAATATCGATTTGTAAAGTAAGACCACACTGGAATTACAGTTCATTAAAGATGCTTAAATTATAATAATAATAATAATAATAAAGATACAATAGCAATTAGAGTATCAACTGAAATTAAGGAAGTTTCTATAAAAAGTTGAGGATCATTCGAACCTAGATGGCCATCGGGGTAAGGAAAATGTCTGAACCAGCTTCTTCTTTGGGACACATAAATTAGGCTTCTTAATGTGGATCCCAACGGCCAGTCTCAGCAATATGTAGTAAACGAACTCTTCAGGCGATGTTAAGACTTTTTGGTTGGTGTGAGGCAGATGACTTCGAAAGCCGACTCGTTGACATCAATCTTGTGTTGTGTATCCACAAGATGAGATAGAATAGCTCTATGTGAATAGATTTTGTTTGTCCTTTACTTAACCAACCACTATACAGGGTGTGATGTTCAGAAATCAGACAGTTCATTTAGACCGCCAGTTTGGTAATTAATTTCAAATATATATTCAAACAAAAAATCGATCATTGAACATCATCATCATCATATAAACTAACCTTGTATCTGATAATTTATCATTTACTAACTGGTGTACAACTTTCATTAAACGCTCAATCCCATCACTTCCTAATCGTTTGAATAGCATTGCATTCTTTTTACCAGTTTGTAATTTATTACAAAATATATAAGTTAACATTTTACCAATTGTATTACGACGTATATTACTGCGGGAAAAGTTTTCCCAGACATGTGAACACATCGACTGGATAGCTGAGGCTTCATCTATACAAGATATATAAGCTTCCAGTGTTCTGTTTGCTTCATTTTGTAAAAATTTTGTGCTTGAATCTTCACTGATTCGACTTAACAGTGTGGTGATTATTGATGTGGAATAGGCGTCAAGTAGACAACCTTGATGTAGACATTTTAAATAATCACATAATTGATAGAGGGTATTTAAACCATTACGACATACCTATTAGAAGTAATGAACATTTAACAATAGAAATAAATATATATTCGCAAATTTATATATATATATATACATGATATGTAAAACAATTAGTTCCCTTTATGAATTTAGACAACTCAATAAGAAGACGTAATTTGTCTGAATCGTGTTATGTATGTATTTGCGCGCACAACACATTTCGAACAATCTGATCACAGTCAACGGACTCGTCATAGGAATGTATATGTAATTAATAAAGAGTTAAGAAGTGAGAAAATAGACTACTTAGGTCAAGTTCAAAGGACACATTGAAGGTGAAAATAACAATGAAGATGAATGACTAAACCTAATAACAGAGGTAATAGTACATCTACACTGGCCGGTATCAAATCAAAGTTTACCAACAGGGAAGGTTTAGTGTGATGACGAATTGTTTTTGAACGCATAAAGGTGGTTTAAACTTTCTAATTGCCAGCTAGGGCTTCCACAAACTTTAGGATACGCCCTAAATACGTTATATTGATAAGTTTAAAAGATGTGTAAATATCAGTTTTGCGTCCTGTCCCCTCTGTAATGTGTTTCGCAATAGAGGAGCTAGGTCTCTTGTTCTCATCATTAATGGGTTCTGAGGATTCTATTCGCTTCTGAAACCATTTAGGAATATGCTGTGAAGCCAGCCCTTACTTGCAGAGATCAATGAGTCCTCCCTCCTGTGTACATGTGTGTGTCCACACGTACATTCAAATTGGTAAATACAGTGGGATGTGACATCATTTTTCGCATGTTCAGAGGGCTTAGATGAATATATCGCCTTCATACTCTCAGTTATTATGATCTTAGCTGAATAAAAAGTCGTTTTAACAGCAGCGTTCAATCTTTATCTAGTTATCAAGCTGCTTGATGTACACGTCCTTCTTAGGGGCGAGTTGCAGAGTGCGTCTTGGTGTTCTGACTACTTTATATCTCCTGGTGAACTTGTCTGGATAATTGTTATCAACCAGAGTTTGTGTCAACTTTCTTTCTTCTTCATCAAGTGTGTCTTCAGTGCATATTCGTTGGATTCTACTGAAGCGGCACCTAGCTGATTAAGGTTCTTTTGTACCAAACAGAGCAGAAACAGTGGTAATTAAGATACTGTCCTGTCCATGTAGGTTTTCTATAAATAGATCTTTTTACTGACCCATCAAACCGTCGAGTTCCTCAGAAGATATAGAGTAGTCACAACACCAAGACTCACTATACAACTAGCTTCCAAGAAGGACGTGTACATCAAGCTACCCTATATGGGGCATCACAGCAGCTTGACAACTAGACAGAGATTGAACACTGCTGTGAAAAAGACCTTTTATTCAGCTGAGATCATAATAATTGAGAATATTAAGCTAATATATCTGTCTAAGCCCTTTGAAAATGCGAAAAATGATGTCACATGCCACTGTATTTACCAATTTGAATGTAAGTGTGGACACACACACATATACAGGAGGGAGGACTCATCGATCTCTGCAAGTAAGGGCTGGCTTCACAGCATATTCCTAAATGGTTCCAGAATCAAATAGAATCCTCAGAACCCATTAATGGTGAGATCAGGGGACCTAGCTCCTCTATTGCGAAACATTTTATAGAGACAGGACATAAAATTGATGTTTACACGTCTTGTAAACCTATCAAGAGGACGTGTTTGGGGGCGCACCCTAAAGTTTGTGGAAGCCCTAGTTGACAGTTAGAAAGTTTGAACGACCTCAATGCGTTCAAAGCAAGAATTCGTCATCACGCCAAACCTTCCTTGTTGGTAAATTTTGTTTTGATATAATCCAGGGGATATGTACTATTACCTCTGTTATTTGGTTTAGTGATGTTCATTGTTATTTTCATCTTCGTTATGTCTTTTAACTTGACCTAAGTAGTCTATTTTCTCACTTCTTAACTCTTTATCAATTTCATATATATACAATCCTATGACAATTCCGTGTATTGTGATCAGACTGTTCGAAATGTGTTGCGCAAATACATTACATGATTCAGACAAATTACGTCTTCTTTTTGCCTTATCTAAACTAATATGATAGTAAATTAAGGGAAGTTTATGGTGCCGGCTGCATTTTCCCTCCATTCTTTTGTGTTTTGTGTGGAATTTGGCCTTCAAACTACGGAGTTTCGGTAGGGGTGGTGTTTTTTCTTTCAGGGTGTGTGGTTTCTGACTTTCCATTCGGCTATCCCTATTTCCTGGGCTTACTGCCGCCTAGACAAGGTTCAGGAGTGTACTGGCCAAGAATCGAACTCTGATTATTTCCGTGGTTGGCGAGTATTCTCCCATTTTAACCGCCAACTAAATTACAACTACATTAGACTAGTCATTATGTAATCATATAGTATTATTTTCCCCTTGGGTTCTGAGTTGAATCTAGGCCTTCAACAGTATGACCCTACTCTTTTCTATTCTCTGTTGTCTTATTTAGCTGGCCCCACGAACACCTTTAGCCTCTCATCTCCCCAAACAATCTCTTCTATACCACCCTCAAAGATACGTCGTTTCCTGTTTGGGTTTTATTCGAACGATGGACTGGAGAGTGATGTCATCCGATGGTCTTCTTAGCGTGTGCCAGATCCATATCCATTTTCTTTGAGGTATCTGTTGAGCGATAAGTTTATTAGTCGGTTTATTCCAAAAGTTTCTTTCCGCCAATTCCATCTCGCCATTTGGTCTTCATTATGGAGACAGCGGAAGCCTATTCCAATTGCTTTTCGTGACGTGTGAGCCAAATTTCTGACCCATATGGAAGGATTGACTGACTTAATATTGGTGTCGAAAATCCGAGTTTTTTTTCTCCTAATGCTGAGTTCAACAGATTTAAAAACCGATTTCGTAGTGGGGGAAGGTGTACCTTACCTTTCCTCTAATAATAATAATAACCTTTATTCCAGAACAGTACTTGTGATATAGAATGGAATTCTCAGCATTTTTACTACAGTATTGCATCGAGTTAGTACATTATCAATACATAGAATTCTACATAGATTAAGGAAACCACAGTTCATTATTACAACAACACATTGGCATGTCGGTAGCAAAGGTAAAGCTGAAACAGTGTTTGAAGGTGTTAGAAAAGTAGGTGCTGCCATATTTACTGGCGTAAGCGAGAGAAAGAAACAAAGCAGCACATAACGGAAAAAGGAGATAGAGAGAAAGGGAAAAGAAAGGAAGAAAACGTTGTACCTATAAATGATATGAGTTGGAAAGACGAGGTCCAGCTGTACTACTGCGTTTAATATCTTCATTCGTACCATCCACCTGTAGTTGAAACGATGCTTCCTAGCCTGATAAGTGAAGGAGGTGACCTCTCTCAAACTACTTTGTTTGACAGCGTTTGGTTCTGTTCGTTGTTGTTGCTGTTGCTGTTGTTGGTTGGTTATCTTCATCACCTCCGTCCTCTGTATGTTCACCTGAAGTCCCGTCTTCGCTGTTTCTTCAACCAGTTTGTTGGTTTTCGCCCGTTTTGTGTAACATCAGACATAAATCATCCGTGAAATACAGATCTCTTAGGGTCTTTCTTTGAGTACAGCGTATTCCCGTCTCCTCGCCATCCAGAGCCTGAAGCATAGTCTAGTCTACCACAATGAGGAATATAATAGTTGATGTTGGACAAACGTATGTCCTGATGTAATAGTTCTTGAGCATCAGCCTCTAAATTAGGATCTTACAGAATGATCCATTTTGGTTATTCTCCCCGAGTTATTATGTCTTATTTTGAAGTCAAAGAAATGTATTTTTTTATTTTTTTAATTCCTTCACTTTGCCCAGTGGAACATATGGCTTCAAGATAAAGGCTTGAAGTTTCTGTAGTAGTGTTTATATTTACAGGATATGGTTGCTAGCCTAATGCCCAATTTTCCCTATCACCAGCTTCTTTAGTTCTGGCTTAGCGAGGTAAAGGAGTGTGCCAGCCATGGATCGAACCCCGGACCACGTGCATGGTCGGCGAGCGTCCTAACCGCTATGCCACCGACACACAAAGAAATGTATAGGCTTTCCAAATAATATTCACAAGGCTGTCGAGTAGAAGTGACGGGTCTGGAATATGTCTGATGCAGATCATTTGATGAGGAGGAAGAGATGAAATCTTGTGGCGTCATTTCAAAGTGACAGCACAAAACACAGTGGAACAGAAATATACCACTGGACCGCCATTTTCCACTAGGAACGCGAACAATAAATACACCCCAGTAATGTTATTCAGGTGAAGTGGAGTGAACGATGCTATATACTACTGGTTAATTTATTTAAGTAGTTGGATATCATACACACACATCAACCAACTGTGCTAGTTAGCCAGATAGAAGTGGCCTAACTAATAGGGAGGTGTCTCGCTACTTTTCATACCGACTTCGTCATCTGTGTACCTTGTCTGACTCGACCCAGCCTGTTGGATCAGTTCAAACCACACGGATTCTGACTAGCTACTTAGGCAAACTGGTATCACATTAAATCACATTCCCACTTTTAATGCTGGTGAACTACACGTCTTATTCTCTACACGACCGATGGTGCTACCTCGACTGAAAGATGAAGTACCTAGACCAGACTAGCCACTTCAGATTGTATCTACCAATTCAACTGCGCTTGTGGTGGAGAGAGTTATATCGGCCGTTGCTCTAGGAACTTGATTTTTCGTGTTCTCTCGAGAACATCTCCCATTATGGCTAAGTAAAGCTATAGTGAAAATCATTAACAGTTCGATATTACACCATCTGGTGCAAACTGGCCACAAAGCCAGCCAGCCCATTGAAGAATCCTCCTCTATCATCTCCCGGGTGCCAAATAAATTGCCAAAAACATCGAAACACCGCATGCTCCAAACACCAGAGGTTACTGCAATTCGCCTCACACAACCATTTCTCTGTTTTCAAAAGAAGCAAGCCCAGCCAGCCTCTACTACTGTTCTGGCTGGCCTTTAGTGGAGACTATAAATTCATGAATTGATTGTAATATTATCCTTCCTAATTTTTCTGACATTCAGTTTATTGTTATGTTGATGCTGTTGAACTGTAATCCATTGATATTAATGATTCGATGTTATTTAAACAGCAACATTAATGTCGTTGTTAATAACACTAATTCATTCATTCACTATAATGTCTAAATAACTGTAGAGACTGGTGATGAAGGGATTATCGAAAAGAGTATTCTTTGTTCACTATCCATTCTTCTGTAAATGTTAATGGACATTTTCAATCAGTTAAAATATTAGAATTTATGTTAAAAAAGTTTAAAACTTAAATAAGCACCTTAAGATGATTATGAGCAATAAATTGTCGTCGAAATATCATCAGCAAGCAGCACTGTATTACTCTGCAGAATTTTTTCGACCAAACAGAGGTATTTTATGATGAGTGTAGACTGTGTCTCTGGGTTCATCAAGACGCCAGGAACCAGTGTCTGGATACTGTTGGTGATATGGCTCTGAATCTTTCTAAAACGCGCAGATGTATTGATTCTAGATCATCGTCCAGATTTATTTTAGCATCTTTGCCTTTGAGCAGATAAACTTTGACACTTGGTTCTAAGTTGATAACTCACTTCAGTCCTGTTCAATGAACGTAAAACTGAGCATGAGTTGCAGAAGTATCATCTTTCCACGATATGAGTAGAAAAATTTGTTATGCGGGGTACAAAACTTGTTAGACGGTAGGAAGTGACCGGCAGGAAGCTCTGGAACTAGTCCTCATGGCTGTTGGTACTAGCCACCATCCCATATCTGCGATATTGAGGAGGCAGATATCCCCTCAGAGATTCGAATCCGCCTTACCCAGAGCAACAGTCATAGATATTACCACCGATATTACTAGGAAGTAACCAGTCTCATGCATCTGGTCTTCGGTGTTAGTACAGATTGATTCCTATCGACCAAATCTCCAAGGTGGTCACCAAGTCAGTGGACTTGCCATCCAAAGGAACAAAATATATATTATCTGTGCAAAATGTATAACTTTCACTTACTTGTGAACGTAAACACCTGATAGATTTTTCAATCCCATTAATTAATATACTTCTTTGTTTTATATCACTGAATATAACTTCCAGTGGTTTAACATTCATTGTTTTCAGTAAACTTTGTATAATATTTGTAGCTTTATTCTGCTCTTCCCAATTATCTGATGTTAAATAATCAATAATTTGTTCTTCGATTTTCTTAAATTGTCCCGCTTCAATTGGTGTTGATAATGTTCTAGTCTTTTTGATTTTTTGACTCTTTGGAATTTTCTTTTCAATCTGTGAATTACTCGTATATCTTTCTTGATAGGATTCTGGGTAGCGTGTTGATTTTTTATGTCCTGAAGGTTTTTGTTTATTTAAACTAAATGATAAGATAAAATATTGAGCGGAAGTTTTAAAATTCTATTAGATAAATAGTATTATTTTATAAAAGAAGTCTGGGGTTTATGCTTATTGACTTTTCAATATTTTAAATATATTCCCACAGTAAAATTTAGAACAACACACATTTAAGCAAACAATATTGTTGTTTTCAATTAGATCTCATCAGGCTTAATTAACTCTAATATGCATAAGTTTACAAATAAAAATTCGAATATAAACCAGTCTTGGTGTTTTGTTTATAGGATAATAAGATGGTGAATATAAATTGTGCAATTAGTCATAATAATAATGGTTTTATTGATATTAAGAATGAAAAAGTGAGGCAATCTGTGATAATACGAATAATAAAAAACAGCATGGTTAAACAAATGTTTAGGTAGACGTAGTAGGCTATGAAGGCTAGTAAAAACAAATGAACCGATTAAGTAATGCTAGATTGTAAGGGAAGGAAATGAAACACGTTTATAATGAAGATAAGATTAAGGGATGATAAGAAAGGGGTTGAAAATATAAGTAAGATGTGGTGTAGAAGTCATTAGTTGGTTATGTTTTAATAGGTTAAGGGAGGGATAATGGCTGTACGAACTCCTTTGGAATGCATAGCTTAGGTTTAATAGTTCGAATGCCTATCGCCTCGGCTGTGTGCAGTAGACGAATACGAAGTCTATTGGAAAGATTCGGTGGGATACCATGAATTACTTTGAAGACTCTCGTTTTCTCCACTACATGACCGCTAACAATTCAATGTGACAAAATTGAGCTAAGGATTGTTTTTGTCTGTCCTTTACCAAACCACTACGATGAGAGAAGTTCAGTAGTGACACGTTGGCTAAGCTGTCTAATAGTACGCCCAACATAACTGTCATCACAGGTGCAGTTGAATTGATAAATGCATATAGATGTGGCAAAACTATCTAGCTTATCCTTCATTTGCGTCCCAATCATTTGTCGGCTAGAGAATGACAAGCATAGGTATGCTGCGCAGAAAACGTTCTTCGTATACTCCTGGAAAGTCTCTGGAATAAAATCTCACTTTATAAGTCACCATTAAATTGTAACTTAATAAATAGAGGTTTTTTACGTGCAATCATAGTCTCAGATTGTTCCTCTGATGCTTTCATATGTTTCTACCAAAGGCATGGGTATTTTATGATGAGTGTAGACTGTGTCTCTGCGTTCGTGAAGACGCTAAGAAGCGGTGTCTGGATACTGTTGTTGACATGGCTCTGAATCTTTCTAAAACGTGGAGATGTATTGATTTTGTATCATCGTCGAGATTTATTTTAGCCGCCTCTTTTATCACCAAACTATATGCGTAAGCAAGTGGAAATTCGTGTCTTTTTTTTAAAAAGATTCTACTTCATAAGCAACAATGATTTTCAGATCTTCCCTATCTTTATATTCATTAAGTTGGGAATGAGATCAAGATCACGTTGTCAGTGGGGGTGGATTACTTGAAGGTTTTAGATAAGATTTAGGGAAGAAAAGTATAACAAAGAGAAAGCCTATGTTATATGCAGTTTGATATCGATTTTTAACAGTAAAAAGGTAGATTCACTATCATTTCAAATTCATATTACCCTTGATCAATAAAATTTGATCATTTATTAAAATCAATATATATCTTAAAGTCATTGCCTATTTAAACATCAAGTTTTCTATGGAATATGAAGTCAAAAATCAACTACATAGGAAGAAAAGAAGACGGAACAATAAGAAAATGGGAATTCTCTGCAAAGTAACTTGAAGTGGTCAGTACCTAAACTTCACCAGCTTCTCTGTCATAAGCTACTTGAGAAATTTACTAAGGATAGTATGTGAAACAAACTTTAGAAAACGAAATCAGTCTCATCAATGTGTGTACTGCAAACGTGGCAGGTGAAAGTTAGAGTACTGTACTGTCGAGAAGAAACCAGTTTTCCAACTAGCACTGTTGGACACGTGCTCAAGAGCCCGTGTCTTAGAAGTTTATTCTCGTCTAACAACACCACAGCTCAGCGCCCGGCTTATACAAGCTACTAAATCAACACATCGAAAACTTTTAAGGCAATGAACAGGCAAAGCATCATACGATAACTTCGAGTTGATGGATATGTCGCCATCTTCAGAGCATTTCCAGTTCGTTTCTCTGTCCCGAGCAATCGTGCTCACATCACTATTGCATAGGGTTTGAAAGGAGGCAAGGCTACCTTGTCAAACTGCGACCTAAGTCTATTGAATGACTGGAACAGAATCGTACCACTGTCTAACCCAAACAAAATATGACGCCACACCATCTTGGAAAGAATATACTAAGCCTTACATGAAAGACTTCGTCTGGAACAGATCGGGTTCAGAAAAAACAAGTTATGTGCAGCCGAAAATTACAACACCACGCCTCGTCATCAAACAGCGAATAGAATTACGATGAACGTTGTAGCTTGACTTGTTCGTTTTGAAAAGGTCTTCAATAGGGTCACCTGTGTACAAATTAGGTAAATATTTCAACAGTTCTTGAAATGCAGTGCTGCAAAAATTTATTAACCTCATTCAACAATTATATGGCAGTGATGATGATACATGACAAGTAATTCACAACGCATAGGTCACTGAGGCGTCAAAAATGAAGACAGGAGTAAGAAAAGGTCGCCTACCATTACTGATGACCTTCTGTAGTGTGATAAACTGGATCTTGCAGTCGATAGCGGGTAGTGAGGAGACAGGCATACTCAAAGACGAAGATGTAAGTCAACAACTCCCAACAAATCCCATACAAACATGGGACAACCGCATCCAAAGGACCTTAAAAAAGCTGACCAAAACTGGACAGATCACAAAACAAGACCAGTGGCGAATGAAATCCTATTTCGATTCTACGGCAGACCCGAAATACACAAGCCAACTGTCACGTCACGACCAATTGTATCATTCCCAGGAACTCCAACATATAATTTATCCAAGGAATTATTGAAAATCAACTCACACGGACCAAATACTGAATTACAACAGCAACAATCCAATAACACACAAAAGGTATTGCATACAAACACTAGTGAAGAGGGCCAGCCAAGACTCATTGCAGCACTCCAACCTTAAGGAAAACTGAACAAAGATATCCCATGGACGTCTTCCCAAAGAATGGATATCCACGGAATTTCATCAAAAGACATCCACTCCCAAGCCAACCTATCAAACCTAAAGCCCCCAAGGAAATCACAAGGAAAATCGCCCTACCATATATAAAGGATATTTCAGAAATCACTGCAAGACTCTTCAAACCTTTAGGAATTGACGTCGCGCACAAACCAGCAAAATCACTTCACTCAGCCAGCCAGCCCTGTGTCAACCTAAAGACTCAACAGCGAACGAAAGAAGATAAAACCAACATCATCTACAAAATAAATTGTAACAACTGCGAAAAACACTACATTGGCCAAAGTGGATGTCCCTGCTCTTCGTCTTCGTACCCACGAATATAAACTAGCCGTCAAAAGACATGACATTCACTCCCTCCCTCATATCGCTGCACACAGACAACCACGGACATCAATTCGACTGGGACAACGTTCAAATATTAGACAGAGGAAACACCAAGAATGCTAGCCAGAGAATTTTTAGAAGCCTGCCAGGTACTCCAGTGAATCGTCAATTATTAGACACATAGAGATAGACAAAATTTACCAATCGATATGAAGGAAATCTCACACACAAAGGGTCAAAGTTCAAGTCAAAGAAACAATCAGTTCCAATACAAGTAGCCTAGAGGGTGTGAAAATACACAAACACACACAATCAAAGAGTCACGTTCAAGGTGGTCACCAGGAGAGATGACTAATAAACTCGTGGAGAAATCTAAAAGCTCACTTCAATTCAAATTGAAATGTATGCGATGAAGATGTCACCTAGTAGGGCGATAAAAGCTTTGCAAATTAACTATCCAGCTCGAAGAACACAACCACATCAAAAAACTCGAATATTTACAATCTAATGGCAAACAGACGGCAGGAGAGGTAACGAAGTCAGTGCTTCAGGTGAAGGTAAAGAAGGAAGGAGACGATGAAGGTATCCACCAAATAACAACAACAGGCACCCATCACCATCAGTGGGGAGAATCTAAAGGAAATCACCTAAATAACTTATCTGACCTATGTAGCTTCATTTCAACTGTTGCAAGTGGCAAGGATTATGAAGTTAAAGGCAGTCAGGATCGAGAAAGCAAGACAAACAGGTGTTCACTACTCTGAAATCATTGTGGTGTGGAGATCTACAACACTGTGTGTATGCGGACCACGGTTAGAATTTTAACACCAATGTTAAGAAAGTGCTTCTTTGTAGTTCGGAGACTTCTCTATGAGATGACTGGCGAGAAAGCATAAGCAATAATTAACTCTGGTAGGTAGGTGCACCATCCGATAAGCCTGCAGAAATGGAGACAGACTACACACACTCCAAGGAGGACGTTAGGCAACATTACAACCCAGGCCCAAGAGTAGATATCAAGTGGGAATCGATAGGCTGGACATCCGAGGATAATATCAAGGAGACCATGTGATGACAAGGAGGTTTAAGCTTTCGGACAGTCACACAGCCAGTTAGAAATGATAGTAGAGAACCCAGTTCAACAAGAGATGTGCCGTTGAAGACTGAAGTAAATTATTATTATTGTATCCTTTAATTCCTACAGCAACACAGGGCTTCAGCCGTGCGTCTCCATTGCGTTTTGTTCTCTGCTAGAGTTTGTAGTTTGTTTGAGATGCTCTTTATGACGCGCTGGCCAAGTCTCTGATCCGTATAGTAAGTAGCACTGACTTCACATTGGAGTTGGAAATTCGGATCTTATTTTTGATGCTGAGTGTTGTTGACCTCCACACAGACTTGAGAGTAGTGAGAGCTTGTCTTGCTTTCCCGATTCTTGCTTTGATATCCTCGTCAGTTCCGCCTGTAGTTGAAACGATGCTTCCCAGGTAGGTAAGAGAGGTTGTTTCTTTCAGATTCCTTCCATTTATGCTGATTGTTGTCAGTTGTTGTTGTTGCTGTTGGTGGTGTTGGCCAGGAATCTTCATCACCTCTGTTTTATCTATGTTCACCTGAAGTCCTATCTTTGATGCTTTTTCTGTCACGAACTTGTTGCTTTTCGACTGCATATCTTCCAGTTTGTGGGAAATCATACATATTTCATCGGTGAAGTCAAGATCCTCCAAATTTTTTGTGTGAATCCATTTTATGCCTGTTTCCTCATTGCCCGCTGTTCGTCGCATTATCCAATCTACTGCAATCAGGAAAGTCATTGGCGAAAGTAGGCAGCCAGCTTGTCTTACTCCTGTCCTCACTTCGAAGGGTTCCGTAAGTTTCCCGTTGTGGATTACTCGGCATGCAGCATTGTTGTACAGCTGTTGGATGAGATGTATAATTGTCGGTGGCACCCCGTAGTAGTGAAGTAGTTTCCAAATCACCTCTCGATCGACGCTGTCGAAGGCCTTTTCAAAGTCGATAAAGTTGAGATAGAGAGGTGACTGCCATTCCAGGCTTTGTTCAATGATGATCCGTAATGTGGCGATCTGATCAATGCATAACTTGTTTCTCCTGAATCCAGCCTGTTCCGGTCGAAGTTTTTCATCCAGGATGGCATGTTTGATTCTCTCCAGGATGATGCGGCTTAGTATTTTGCTTGGGATGGACAGGAGCATAATTCCGCGCCAGTTCTTGCATTGACTTAGGTCTCCTTTCTTTGGTAGTTTGAATAAGTATCGTTTCTTCCAATCCTCGGGTACTTTGCCTTCTTTCCACACCTTCTCCAGTAGTGGCGTCATCAAGTCCGCTGTTGTCTCTGGGTCCGTTTTCAATGCTTCTGCTGGGATTCCATCTAGTCCTGCTGCTTTTCCAGCTTTTAGCATCTTGATTGCCTTCAGGACTTCTGATTTCGTCGGGGGGTTGGTGTTCACTGGTAGCTCTGTCTCCGTTTTTGGTATTGTTGGGCGCGTTGTAGGTGGTGGTCAATTTAGGGGTTTTTTGAATAAGTAAATAAATGAGAATAATACTTTGCGTAGTATTCAAAACTCACTTATCATAATGGTGATTACTGTCCATTTTTGATTGTTCTGTATGCAGGGAAGGCTTATGAACATCATTCATTATTCTGTACATTTTATAACTTGGAGAAGTTTCTGGATTATCACGAAATCGCGTATCTATGACAAAGAGAGAGAGAGAAAGGCAGATGAATAAATAAAAAATTTAGTCTGAAGAAATATCGATTTCTGATAAGAATTTATCACATACCTATAGTGTCTAGGAGAACACTAGGAGCTAAGCAGTACTGAAAACGTAAAACACGAGGTTCTAGTAACCTGGTCTAGATAGAGTCCAGTCGACAGTAACTATCTTCACTTTGGTGCAATAGTGTTCACATACTGTCGTTAGATCCAAATCTAACATGGCGCGAGTTTACTGTCTAGTACTCCCTATTATTGAAGGCTAATGATGTGTGTGACGGTTATTCATCAGAATACTGTAGGCGTTATTAACATAAAGTTTTTCACTGATTAAAGATGATCATTAAAATTTTCAAAAGAATGGATGCTGAACATAGAGTACTCTTTTCGATAACTTCATCATCAGGCTATCCAGTTATATATATATATACATAATAGTGAATGAATGAATGAATTAGTGTTATGAACAACATTAATGTTGTTTAAATAACATCGAATCAATAATATCAATGGATTACAGTTCAACAGCATCATTATAAAATAAGCTGAATGTTAGAAAAATAGGAAAGATAATAATACAATCAATTCATGAATTTATAGTCTCCACTGAAGGTCGACCAGGGCAGCCAGTAGTAGTGGCTGGTTGAACTTGCTTCTTTTGCACGCAGAGCATTGGTTGTTTTAGGCGAATTGGAATAGCCTCTACTGTTTGGAGCATGTGGTGCTTCGATGATTTTGGCAATTTATTTGGTACTCGGTAGACCATAGAGAAGGATTTTTCAATGGTAGCTGGCTTTGTGGCCGGTTTGGATCAGGTGGTCTAATATCGAACTTTTAATGGTCTTCACTACACCTTTACTTAGCAACAGTGGGAGATGCTCTCGAGCACGAAAAGTCAAGTTCCTAGAGAAACGGCCAATATAACTCACTCCACCACAAGTGCAGCTGAATCGGTAGACACAATTTGAAATGGCCAGTATAGGTACTTCATCCTTCAGTCGAGGTAGCACCATCGGTCGTGTAGAGAATAAGACGTGTAGTTCACCAGCTGTAAGATCAGTCCAATTCCCATCCTTGAATCAAGTCAACCTGTCCCGGATCAGCCTAGCGTTGTTACAACCCAATTACCCATGCTTAACGTGTCTATCCCTCCTTGTTTAATGAACTGTGTGTGTGTGTTTTACATCGATCCGTTTAGTCAGACCGTTGAACTCATGACCCAATCAGAGTATTTTTGTGAACTGTTATTTTGCTGACCCATGTCTTACTTTGTACTATTCTGCCGAGTTTATCTTATTTATTGATCTTCATCTGTATCAGCCTACCTGGTTAAGTAGCCAATTAAATTCTATCCTTGTGCCTATGCTCTGTCTATCTCTTCACCGCTCTCTGTTCTATGCCCTACCTTACTTGGGTTCATTCTTCTACCGACTGCTTACCTGAACGGTCGTGTCTGACTCCGGCTAGTTCGCAATTTTGGCTTTAACGTTATTCCGCTCTGATAGCGGTACCTTGCTTTCTGTTAAGCATTGTGCTTTGTACTCTTGAAACCGTTAAGGTTTGTTGTATGTATAATAATTACCGTAGAAACAGTGACCGGCTTCTTGTTTGTTCTGGACCGGGATAGCCTTTATCTACGCGTGACTTAATTTCAAGCAATATTGCGCTGACGCCAGCATTAAAAGTTCCTTGAACTGATTTTCTTAATGTACTCGTAATTATCTCACGTGGTATATCGCCCTTGAATTGCAGTCATATATAAAGTGGCTTCTTGTTTACAGATAGTGAGTAGTCTTTTTCCGCTTTCTTAGTCATATGTTTCCTGAAGAGTTTGTTTAGATAGCTATTTTCGATCAAAGTATCATATACAATGCTTAATTCATCTTTAATTACTTCTTCTGAGCATATAGCTCTAACTCTGTGTCTGAGGGTCTTCACTAAATTTCTTTTGTACTTGAGAGGAACGAAGCTGTGAAAATGTGTGTATATTGTCCTGTCCAAGTACTTTTCCTATGCAAATTTCTTTTTATGCTACCATCTGATTTTCTTGTAAGGAGGACATCCAGGAAGGCAATTCTGTTTTTGAATTCCTCTTCGCACGTGGATTACATAACCGAATGTACTCCTATCAGAATCATTATCACTAAGAATGAAGGTGTCATCTATATACTGGCAGTATAATGAGAACTTTCTGATAAGGTTGTTCAAAGGTCCATTTTCTAGTTTACTTAGAAAGATATCAGCTAGAATGGGACCCAATGGGGAGCCCATCGCCACCACGTCCACTTGTCTGTAAATTGTGCCGTCAAATTTGAAATTTACAATCATGGTATACACCTTAATAACAAAATTCTTGTAGGATTTCCGTAGGGATGCCAATGTTTATCGACTGGTTATCCAGTGATCAGAAGAAATGAACACGCATTTGGGGAAGTGTTACAAACTTAAAACGAGCAGGTTGTTCAATGTATCTGATGACTTTTATTTACTCCTCTAAGGGAGATTTCATTCATTGTTTTGCATTCCGAGTAGAACATGGGGCCTCAATCCTTTCAGATTTCAAAAGTAGCTTAATCGATTTTACAAAGGAGGGTTGCCAGCCGTATAGCCGACCTTCCCTTGTATCCGGGCTTCCTGCCAGCTAATAAATTAGGCAAGGCTAAAGAGTTTTTCAACCAGCGATGCAACCATGACCTCTTGTGTTGGACCAACGACACTATATGGACCATTCCACTTCTACAAGGTGTTACTTATCACTTGAATAAGCTAGTGACTGACTAATAAGAGAATGATAAAATTCCACAGTAAATCATTCCCCTCCAAGTTACACTTTATGAATTAAAAAGTAGATCAAGCAATGTGTTGTGCAATCTGTTGGTTGGGAATCTAAAGACGGCCTCCCAAGTGGTCAGTGAGCAATCTACCACTGAACGAACCTTTTCTAGCTAATACAGAATAAAGATACACAAGTAAATTGAGTTGGTCTCAGGGTTTCATCATGAACTGTTATAGGTTAGGGGACTACTGGAAAACCTGCAGGGAGTACTAGAAAACTATTTCGTCTCTCTGTCTGTTTGTTTTCGACATAGACTTTTGCACCGATGTGCACCAGTTCAAGTAGCCACACTCCCTCCTTGTAGCATACAAAGTAGGAGAAAAAAGTAGAAGAAATGCATAATGGAGACAGTAGACAGGAATATGAGACAAAAGGAATAGTAATAACGAAGAACAATATAGTTTCATTGAAAATTATTAGTCACAAGGAGTGGATGCATCCAATTGTCTCCAGCCTACATTGGTTTTTACCGTCCTGAGGACCCCAGCCAGGAAGCCAGTCTGCACTGGCCAGCTGGCTTAAACTAACTGCTGTGGATTTCATTGACTGATGAAGCCATGTTTTGGTTTGACCGCTGCTAGCTCTTTTCCATCTTGACCCTATGTCAGCTCACAATGCCCATCGAGAAAAGCAATGTCTAGGAATACGTAACACATGTCCTAACCATCTCTCTATCGATGTAACTTCACAGCCTCATTAATCGATTTCCCCTCCTTACTTTGCACTCGAGGCCTAACCTCAATATAGCTCACCCTATTTTACCACTTCACACGGGAGATAGAACGCAGGCATCTATGATCAAAGACAGCTAGCCAGGCTTTTCGTGTCTTCCACTCTCAATGGCTAGGTCTCACAAATGTTTCGTCCTATTTTAGGACCACTCATCAGTGAGCACCCACACTGGGGGGCTAGAATCTAGGACCTTCTGATTAAAAGGTGAGCTAGCTCGTAGAGCATTAAGCCACTAACTGGCCAGCCCATGAATTCCAACCTCTGCCAATTCATGATCTGCCACGACTAGCACTAGCAAATGTCAACGGTGGCGAGTATTTCGCCTCACACCCGACCTGCTGTACACCATTGGTCACGACTTCCCACATGTGAATTGAATTGAAAAAAAGTATATAATGCCTGAATGAAATATTACAGATTTATAATCTTATTACTTACTTGCTGAACAAAGTGCATAATTTCTCCACATATTTGTTGGATTTTTATCATAATTATATAAGCTGACATTCTGATCATTTAGAGTATTTGTTATGTAATTATCAGTATCAACGCTGTCCAACATTTCTGTGTTTATCAAGGAAGGCAAATCTTGATTTTCTGCTTTTACTTCTTCTCTAGCATATATTTCACTGAATCAATTTTCAAAATAGAGAAAGTATTCAAGAATGAATAGGATAAAAGGAAGAGAGTTCAAAAGAACTGTCGTCAACATTCGACAGTATAGTCATCATCAGGTAGAATCAGAAATCAGTATAAAATAATTTATGCTCGTACAACCAAGCACCGGAACTCAACGATACCATACTTGGCCCGTGTTCTAAGTGACAGAGACAATGTTAAGCGCGAAACCATATGACTTGCTTTTTTGTTAATAATCATAATTTTAGGCTCGTTTATTTCTCTCTTATTTTGTAGTGAACTCCTTCCTAAACATACTTGGCTACCTAAATTATTAACATTGGCTTACTTTTTTGTACTTTACTGTATTCCTTCTTTTGTGTATCTACTGGTTCCGATTATATTAGCACTATGAGTATTACAAAATTGTCCTGTCATTAACCATCATGTAATTATTAGTTTTTGTGGCTGTTCTTTATTTTTATTTTTTGTTCGGCAATATTAACTGACAATCTTGGTTGTGAACGCCATTATCACCATCTTAAAATTTTGTATTATTCAGGATTACTCACACTACCACTACAAACACTGCATTAGACCTGACAATAAAAAACAAAACAACAACCCTGAAATGTTTTTTTATGATTGTTTAGTGTTGTTTCAACCAACTTGACTGATCATCTTGGCGATAAACATTCTTATATATCATTTCATAACTTCTTGTATGACTATAGCTTTACTGTCACCATGCATAATCATATCATAGCTTCCACTACCCAACACTGAGAAGATATTATTTTATGTTGTTTATTTTCCTTTCTACTTCATGGTATTTTTCGCTTTTTTATTATTTTTGTGTTTTTTGTGTTTTTTTGTTTTTGTTGTTGTTGTCTTTATATTTATTTTTTTGAAATACTCCTTTTAAACGTTGGATAAAATTAGATGCAAATATTGTAGATATGTGCTGAAAATTCCACACTGTACCACTAGTACTGTTTCTGGAATAAAGCAAATTATTATTATTATTAAAATATAATTGGGCACCGAGTGAGGAGTAGACATTTGTAAAAAAATTATATTTATGTAAAATCTCAGCGACAATGAAATGAGTAATTCCAACTTTTCCTACATTCGACAATCTGGTCCGAACTTCTTCAGAGAAATTAATCGAAATTAACGTAACAGAGGTTTATATGCAGAAAAGGAACGTTGGAATTACTCATTTCAATCTCGCTGAGATTTTAGACAAATATAATTTTTTACAAATGTCTACTTCTCACTCGGCGCCCAATTATATTTTAGAACTATTCTGTCAAATCTTGACGACCGTTCATTTGAAATATTTTGCAATCGAATTAAATTAACAAAGAAACTATGTAATTGGCACAATCATCGTGTTTTCGCTCTCCGTTGTCTGCAACAGAATGCATATCCTAAATCCGTAGATGTCGAGTCACCTGACAACTCTCCAGTAGGCCGAAGAAAGCAGCTCAATCTTCAAAAAGAAGACAAAGCAATAATCTTAAACACCATAATTTTGAAAATATGTCTAATCATGAAATTCTAGATACTAACAGTTTGAATAGACATGAAGGTGTGGTCTTGTTAGCTAATGCATAGCAAATCCTGATTAATAAATAAAAAGTGGATATGTATCACTAATTGATAGTACTTGGTCAAAATTCCCGATTGTCTATATCTTGTTATGGAGAGGTTAACAAATGTTTGACAACTGTTTACCCCCCCCCCACACACACACATACACACTCTATTTAAAGTGTATAACAAAAGTAGACCAATATTTGTAAGTCCGGGGTCAAATTTTGATCGCAGTTCATACAATTTTGTTTATTAAACATCTTAATGCCTGTTTCATGACTCAAATGATTGGACAAAGTTTTTAAAAACATGAGATGTTCCTTTTATATATATAAACCTCTGTTATGTTAATTTCGATTAATTTCCCTGAAGAAGCTCGGACCAAATTGCCGAATGAATCTCGCTGAGATTTTACAAATATAATTTCTTACAAAATGTAAGACAAGTTCATTTATAATCAAAAGTTTGATAAAAAAAAGTGACTTCAGTTAGAGAACCACTGAAAGCTTCCAAGGAGTACTGGATATGTGTTTCATCTTTGTGTGGATCTCTTCAACAGTACGTGTCGATGCTCCCATCCAGAGGTCGAACGCAGGACCTTCAAGTCACAAGATGATCCCAATGACCATTCAGCCACCAAAACGGAATCATGTGGCCCATCAATTCTAACTTTTTGTCAATGCATGGCATATACATAACGTCAAAGCCAGGCAGTATTATCAGTTACATCCAACTTGGTGGATTTCACACTGATTATGACTTTCCATTGGAAGTTCAGACAAATTCATACTGTCGTTAATCACTAGTAAGCACCAGATTAGTTTTCGATTGTTGGTTCAAAAGAATTTCATTGATAATTTCAAGTTTTCACACGAACTGATTTCATTTAGAGAACCAGTGAAAACCAGAGGTGGCTGTTTCATCCCTGTTTGGGATTCTTCAGCAGTACATGTCCGTAACCTATGCACACAAATATTATAGATCGTTAATGACACATAACTTTAATCACGAATTGAGAGAAGTTAGTTAGAATTCACGAGCTGGTCACTGGATTTAGTCCCATTGGCCGGATGATCGATGTGCTGGTGTTGAATTCAATCCTTAGGAATAATAATAACAACTTAGTTTGAGGCTTAACTTTTTTTTATTCCTTCACGTTCCCAGTGGAACATAGGGCTTCAAGCTGGCGACTCGAAGTTTCTGTTGCAGTGTTTTATTTTTACAAGATGGGGTTGCTAGCCTCATGCTCAATCTTTCCTCCTTCCAGCTTTATTTCTGGCTTAGCGAGGTAAAGGTGTGCGTCGGCCGGGATTCGCACGCCGGACCATGTGCACCGTTGGCGAGCGTCCTAACAGCTGTGCCACAGATGCACTTGAGGCTTAATACTGACATCTATAAAAAAACAAAATAATTGAGCAAAGAATATCCTTTGCGATAATTTCCTCTTCTCGCTTTACAATTATACATATATATGTTTATATACATAGAATATTCTTGAATAGTAGTCAATAACAATATTAGTGTTTTTTAAATTATATGAATTTGTTAAGTAAGATCAATGGAATTACAGTTCATTAAAGATGCTTAAATTATAATAATTAAAAAATTATAATAGTAAATAGAACATCAACTGAAATTAGGGAAATTTCTACAAAAAGTTGAGGATCATTCGAACCTAGATGTAAGGACAGTGTCAGAACTGGCTTCTTCTTTTCCACAGATAAATTAGGCTTCTTAATGTGGATCTCAACGGCCAGTCTCAGCAATATTTATTAAACGAACTCTTAAGGCGAAGTTAAGATTTGTTGGTTGGTGTGAGGTAGATGACTTCGAAAGCTGCCTCGTTGACATCAATCTTGTGTTCTGCATCCACAAGATGAGATAGAATAGCTCTATGAAGAGATTTTGTTTGTCGTTTACATAACCAACCACTATGCAGGGAGTGATGCTGGGAAATCTGACGAGAAACACGCCTAGTTGTACGGCCTATGCAACTAACTGGCTAACTCCGTAGGAGCTACCTCGGTCTTTGAAGATCAACAGTCTAACTGACTTATTTGAAACAGCCACTTATCAATCAAGGTATATCTCATCTCCACACTACATACCTCCGACCATAGGTCAAAGTCTCTACAAAGAAAACTGCCATCGAAGATCTGTGAATTCCTCATGTCTTCCACTTCCAACATTCATTTCTCATATCCGCAAAGTGGTGATTTGATTCCTGAAGTCATCTCATGTGAAATAGATCGTATGTATTCTGACCAGGGATCAGTCACCACGAAAACTAATTTTAATCAATATAACTCCTAAAAAAAACAAGTGATGCGGCGAAAATATTCTACTGTTTTACAATTCACTCATAAACTAAGATTTCTTCCACACGATCTGTGTAGAAGTATTTGAAATTTCCAATTTGCAAAATGCATGTCAGACACACTTAGATATCTCAAGAGAATCCTCGTCGAGAATTGTTATCCAGAAAGATTTATTGCAAAATCTATGAATCCTAGACCACAAAAGCCGCCCATGCTTAGCGTCAAGAAAAAACTACTTTATATGAACCTTCAATTCAATGGAGATATATCTGCGGAAACACTAAAACATCGACTGTCGCACTCACTTAAGAAGACCTTCTTTGCAGCTGAACTACGACTAACCTTCTCCACAAAACCCTGTGATTCATGTGACCGTGAAGGATAAGCTACCGCTGCTGGCTGGCCTCATCAATGTGCATTTATCAATTCACCTGCTCGTGTGTAGCCAGGTGTGTCAGACGTGCCCGGCGCTCGCTTTCCAAACGTATCACCGAACACTTACCAACACGGTTTTACAAAGGAGAAAATCGATGCCCCCACAGCTCCATCTTAGAACATCTGATAGAATCCGGACACCAAGCTACACCGCAAACAAACTTCAAAGTCGTCTACAGAGTAAGAAGTAGTTTTCCTAAAGGTGTACGAATCAGTCCTGAACTCTGCATACAGAAGAAGTTCGTTCAATCACTACACTTACAATGGACGTAATCTATCTTATTAGCCGACAAGTAGATTCTACCTAATCTCTTTTTTCTGTTTCTTCATTAGCATTATTTTTCTCTTCTCAATTGTAACATTTTCAACCTTCTTGTTCTCTAACCCCATCCGATTTAATTTCTACACCTCACTACCACTGTTACTGACTTGAACAACGCTCAATTTCTAGGTATCCAACTTATTTGCTCAATTTCAGTTCTAATTTAAATGGCATTATTCTCTACCCCACTTCTACTTAGTCTCTACCTGTAATTACCTCTGTTGCTACCCTGATCTAAGTTGAAACAATTTAGTCAATTATATTACGTCATCTAACTTACTAACTAACTCAATCTTACCTTAGTTGCTGTCTAATTAACCTTGTTTCTGTATTTTTG